TTCTCCCTCCCCCTCCCTTGCTGTCCCTCTTTCTCCCCCTTTCCCTCTGTCTTCTCTCCCCCTCTCTCCTTTCTCCCTGTCTCTCCCTCCCATCCTCTCTCAGTCTCTGTCTCCCCCCACCCTGTCTCTTCCTTCCTCCCTCCCTCCCTCTCTCCCTCCCTCCCTCTCTCCCTCCCTCCTTCTCTTTTACTCGGAGACAGTCAGAACTCTCCTCCCTGACAGCCACAAACCTACAGCACTGACTGCATTCAGAGAGGGAACCTGCAAACAAAACTTCACAGAAAACTTTTTGCTCTTGTTCCAGAGAATTTGCTGAAGAGGAGAAGGAAAAAAAGTCCAAAAAAACCTGTGCGTAAGGGGTGGGGAGGAAAAGCAGGGTCTTTAAAGAAGGCAACCACACGACTTTTGCTGCCAGGATGCCCTTGCTTTGGCTGAGAGGATTTCTGTTGGCAAGTTGCTGGATTATAGTGAGGAGTTCCCCCACCCCAGGATCCGAGGGGCACGGCGCAGCCCCGGACTGCCCGTCCTGTGCGCTGGCCACCCTTCCGAAGGATGGACCTAACTCTCAGCCAGAGATGGTAGAGGCTGTCAAGAAGCATATCTTAAACATGCTGCACTTGAAGAAGAGACCCGATGTCACCCAGCCGGTGCCTAAGGCAGCACTTCTCAACGCGATCAGAAAGCTTCATGTGGGCAAAGTGGGGGAGAACGGGTATGTGGAGATAGAGGATGACATTGGCAGGAGGGCTGAAATGAATGAACTCATGGAGCAGACCTCGGAGATCATCACCTTTGCCGAGTCAGGTGGGTGCTGGCGTTGGGAGTGGGGGCGGGGGCAGGGGCAGGGAAATGTATTTCTTTGACAGTCCTAGCAGGAACTTCTTTCCCTCCAGCTCAAGACTGTCCGGGAAGGTTATTAGTTATTAGGTGGTGGTGGCGGCGGCGGCAGCGCCGGAGAAGCAGAGGAGGGGGAAAGGACTTCTTTGCCAGGGAGCCCTGCCCCGCGATGGCTAGCTTACACTTGCTAAATAAACTCAGCGGTTACCCAGAGAGGAAGCTCTTGGGTCAGTCTGGAACTGAAAAGCAGTCTGCTTGGGGCTCCTTGACTGCCCTGCCTTGGAAACCAGATTTGATCAGCTAGATGAAAGCAGGGCATTTGGGGGTTTGGGGGTGCAGAGGCAGCATCTGGACCCCATCCAAAGTTTTTCTGGGGTAGGAGTGAGAGTGCCTGGGGGCCGAGTGCAAAGGCACTGATGATGGCTCTGTCTGAAAACAAATCTCCTTTAAATGTCTGATCCGGGGCCACATCGGAGGCAGACTCTGGGCATATTTATTAGTGACAATCATTTTCACCTCTGGAAAGCCTGCCTCTATGAACAACCCACCCAAGACAGCAAAGAGCAACTCTTAGGGCATTGAATTAGTGATTAAAATTTTGGAACACTTAAACTTTTGCTTTTAGAACAAAACCAAAATAAAAACAGAAGCAACTAACGAGATCAACAAAACGCCAGCGAATCTTACCCCCAACCCAGTTTTATTTTTTATGAAGTGACTAACAACTTTTTGCCAAGGAATGCCAACTTGACAATGTGCTTTTAGAACGTGCCCTATGCTGAACTACTCAATCCTTAAGAGGGAAAACTTTAATGGATTCTAATCATTGGCTCAGGGCCACACTAACCTGTTGCTGTGGAGAAAATACCTGTCCAGAGCCCAGACTGGAGACCAGGAACTGGCTCTTCACACAGTCAGAAGGACACAGATCTTATTGCAAGTCAGTGGGAACTGGGCACACAGATGTTTTAATACCTCTTTACTTTCATGTTAAATGCCAGGCTAAGGAATGGGATCACTTGCCAAAGCCATTTGAAAGGAATGCCATTGTTTTGTTTGGTAGAGCATATGGCTAGTGAAGTATGTGCAGGAACTCCCAGCATTTTGTTTAAAAGTTTGCTGCAGCAGTATAAACAATTAAGGCAACACTCAAAATTTCCAATCCTGAAAACCTGTTGACTCAGATGTTCTGTTTTCAAGAAAGCTGTGCAAGACCTGGGCATCCTTGTGGGAGGGGGAGAGGAGACAGCTGGCTTGGTGGCTTCCTGTGAGAGAAGCCTTGGTACCCCACCAGCTCCCTAGACAGGTTAGTTCTGTCCATGTCCTACTTCCTTAACTACTAGCTCCTTCTTGACACAATCCCCCAAACCTTGGTCATTGTGACTTTATTTTCTGAATCATATTGAGGAAGAAGACAGGTTGTACTTAATCAGGTCACGATTTATTTTTGAATTTTCTTTCATAGTTGGAAGGTGAGAAAGAAAATCTTTACAACATGGGTTGGTGTGTGAGGGGGATGGGTTCCCTGCTTTGGGAGATTGGCCCTGGTCCTGACACAAAGTGACTCATATAAGTTTTTATGTACAAGCTTCCCCTATGATGGCTGCAACTGCAGTTTCTACTAACTTGAAATCAACTGTATCATGTGACTAAGTATATGTGTGACTTCCACCATGTTTAATGGCACAGTGGATGTTAGCACTCTGTCCTTCCCTCTGACTTACTAAGCTTGTACAGAAATCCTATCACTCGGCAGTTAGAGATAGGGCAAAGCACTGGGTCATTTCCATTCTTCTTACTTATGACCTTCTCAGTGCTAATGGCTCTCTCAGTTAAGTGGAATGCTGTCAGTTTTGCTTCTCTGTTGTTTAGTTTGAGAGAAAATGAGCTACTATTTACATCGGTGATTCACTGGACTCACACATTGCCTGAGTGTAAAATTTGTAAGAAGAAACTCCTTCTAGTCCAGGAACATGGTGTTTTTGTTACAGTTGCTTATTTTCTCATGTGAGAAGGAGACTTCTCACACACACAGACTTCAAGTTGATTTAATATAATTTCCAAATGTAAATAACATCATAGTTTAGAACCTACCCTCCAAGTAGAGTAGTGTATGATGTAAGCATGTTGCCTATTCAGGACATATATTTATTGTCTGATTAGCTAGAGAAAAATATGTGAAAATGAAACCCAAAGATTTGTCTTGTTGCTTTTGGAACAATTCTATTTTGCCATATAGTAATTAACACATTTCAAGAAAAGGGTAATTTTTTCTTTTTTTATAACCATTTGTACAACATAGAGTACAGTCAGTGAATGTCACCTGTAAACATACTATATATGTGCTTCTTGAGAGCAAGGTCCTTGGTATGTGAATGTATGTTTTACTTTGGCCTCTTTATTCAATATTATTAGGTAAAGCCAACAAAAACATGAAACTAAAGGGACCAGAAGGTCTACGGTACCTTGACCTTTTAAGTCAGTTTGTCCTGTGTTCAGGTGGGAAGTGTTTGGGGTTTGTGAAGTTGATTTGACCTGCATTGGCTAAGCAGCCTGTATTCACTCTCAAGGTCTCTGAAATCTGACCCAGTAAGTGAAATTGATTTTATTTTTGTAGGTGTCACCCAAGAGTCCTTCCCAAAGTTAGCGTATTCATTGCATGGCTGGCCCCACACCATTACTCCTAATTTTTTCTTCAGAGGAACAGCAGTATGGGAGAGTCAAGCCAACCCAATGGCTATGACCTAAATTGTTGATGAATTTGGCCTTCTTGGCCAATGCACTGAGTTTGATCTACTTTTCCTTCTTTACAGTAGGTGCTCAGTGAATGTATAGTAACAGCCTGCTATTGAGGCTACATAAACTGTGGCATGGTGAGCCGCTGATGTTCACAATTAGCTTACTGGAGTGCTTGCTACATAGGATATGGAAACCATAGAAGTGATACCTGCAAAACTAGATACTGCTCAGGTGTTGTCTAAAGTTGCCTACCTCTCCCCTCTTGGAGGACACCGGGTACAGAAGATTTGAATTAGATATAAGCTCACCTTAAGACTACTTCTCCACACCCCAAGAAAGCCATCTCCAAGTGGAGTAAACACAGATAGCTCCATGCTCGGCCTTTCTTTTGACCTGTCTTGTGAATTACACTTCACTGAATCTCTGAACCTTTAAGGTTTCACACTTACCTAAATTTTGAAAATGTCTGGCCACAAGAGGGCGCATCCCTAAACCCTCATCTCTATCAGCTACTCTAAGAAAGGCAGTTTTGTGGCCACTTGAAGCCCTGGCCTGTAAGCACCTTAATCTTGAAGAATATCAGTTACTTCCTCCCTACAACCCCATCTTCCTATAGAGTTACGGTTTTGTAGGCTGGGAGATACACAGCTCCCTGTAATAATAGACTGAGACACAAGCACAGCAATGGAAGTGCTGGGGTCCATGCGAACATCCCACAGCTCCATGGACAGCAGAGGAGTGATACACTTCAAAAACAAACAAAGCAGGGCTTGCGATGTGTGTGAATCATCAGCTACACTGACTTGAGTGCAGTCTCTCCCTAATACAGTCGCCTGGGTTTTACAAAAACCTCTTCCATCTCCCTCAATTCTGCTTCCTAGTTTGTCTGCCTTACCCATGCTTTTCACTAGGGACAAATGACAAGTGACTTCCAACAGGGAGAAAAAAAAGAGACTATTTATTTAACGCCTGGTAGGAACATGGAGTTCAGCTGCTGAGGACGCATTTGTTTCCCAGCTGAGAGTGTGGAGAGAAACCGTGGGGGAAGGATGTGCAAAGAGATGAGTACTGGGTTTTTGCCTGGGGAGTGGGTGGAATGGAGTGGGAATGGGGAGATGTCAGGGGAGAGAAGCAGTTTTCACATGGAGAAGGAGTACCTTCCCAGGCACTTTGCATGAAAATACTTATTTGCCTTGGCCCTTCTTATATCAAACTTGGGCATGATCTTGTCACTTTAGTTCAGAATTCTTCATGCTTGACTGATTCCTGGGTCTAAAATTAAAAATGTAAAAGTTTTGAGGAAATCTAGCAAACGACTCTCGGGTTGAATCTTGAGAATTATTTTTTTTTAATATTATGAAGTAAGCTCTTTTTTTTCTTCAACATTTAACCCTTTACATAATTATTTACATGGAAGAGGCAATGGACGATAAGTTACTTAGGCCCAAATTATTACTATCATTCATAAAATGGATCCCAAGGAGAGATATTAAAGCTAAAATGTTAGACGGGATAATTTATACAAGCAAGCTAATATGCCTGCAATTGCAAGATTCTCTACTGTAGGTCAAAGGAAAATAACCTTTCAGATCTTACTCGCTGCCTTCTGCAGAAACCTCTGGAAGCCATCCAGAGGCCGACTTAGTGCCTGAGAGAACACACAGGCTGTAGTGCAGGCCCTTCATGCTACTGACTGTACTGTATCTAGGCACAGGGAAACTTGATGAAGATTGGAAAATTTAAGTAACATATATTTTTACAGCAGAGCTGTGCTCCCCTCATGGTGAGTTTAAATACGCACTGTGAATGCCAAGGCTTTCTACATTCATGGAGACGTCATTATTACCGATTTGTAAAAGGGCAACATATTTTACCCAGGATGTTGATGAGGAAAACCAGGCTAATTAGGCTGAAAGTTTATGTGTATACTGATTATTTAATGGGAAATTATCATATACTCCACAAATCTGAGACCAGGACTTTTGTGTGTGTGTAATTTGCATACCAATGTCAGGAAGAAGGCTAGGAGCCTGTTTACTTAAGCTCTGGCATACCTTCATGATCAAGCTAGTGAGAACCCCTGAAAGCAAAAGAGGATTGCTACAAATATCCTTCTTTTAGGCTTATGTAGACTTTCTTTCTGTCAAGCCTCCACCCCACCCCCCAGGCAGCATTTCAGAGGTATTCTCTATAAGGTACAAAAGTTATCCCTACTGCATGTTCTGTCCATTTTCTTCTGCTATGGTATGTGTCCACCAAGCTCACGGGGGCTTTGGTGATGAGATATTATCACCCACATGGGTTTGCGTGGGACTTTCATGCTGAGTTACTCAGACAGAGCAGGCTGTGTGATACAAGCCTTGCTCACAATCCTCAGGACAAAAAATAGCACAGAGGAGGAAAAGAATGTTACCAGGGAGTAGTTAATAAAAGGTTATGAGCCAGCAGCTCTAGCTGGGGAGCTGTGGCCTGGTGGAGGAGCCCAGTACACACCTGAACACACCAGTATCATTTTTGCTTACGCAGCATTGTGGGAAGGCATTCAATTCAAGATTTTACAGCACCAAATATTTAAATCAGGCCTGAAACGGATGAGAAGTTAAACATCTCATCCTTAGCTACCTTTCTTCCTTTATATAAATCATTCCATGTTCAGCTTGGGGCCTCCTGGAAACACCACTACAGTGGAGTTATTTTTCTCAGGTAATAGAGATAAAAGGAATAGAACATTTGCTAATTATATCTTTCATCCTTATGTAACTAACTTGAGAGTTGTAATATATTTCTGAAACCAACAGGTCTGATAAACGGTCAATCTACTTCAGATCGCATCCATCTCACTCCCTGCCCCCCCCCTCCACCCTTCTGCAATGAAAGCTAAGGTAAAAGAAAAAAAAATGCAGGGCTTAATAAGTCAGAATACAATAGAACTTGTAAAATGTACCTGCGCATGAGGTAGATGGAGGAAGACTTGACTCTCTCCTCCCCCTGTCCTCCTGGGCATACGGCAACAGCATTTTCATGAAAATGGATCTCAGTTTTATTTTTTTCTCTGATAAAATATCATGCAATACACAAATAGCAGTTCCAGAAATGGACACCAGGAGAAGGAGGGGACAGGCATGTCAATTAGTAGGGGAAAATCCAAATGTCAGAAATATGGGGGAGAGATGAAGCAAGCTAGAATGGCTACAAATACAGGGAGCAGAAGCTTTCGGCTGGATAATTAAACTGCTGCATAAATCAGCGCTCTCGCCTCCCGTGACACACAGGCAATGGCTTGCAGTTAATTGTCAGCCAAGACCAGCCTGAAAGTCATTTTATGACGACTCTCTGAGCCTAATGTAACAACACCTGACAGACTGAGCCCCCTCTAATGAGCACTCTCTTTGTACGATCCTCTTGCAGGAACACTAAATCATTTGCTTCCAAGTACAGCCGCCTGTGAAGAAGGGGTGGGGCTACCTCATGCATTAGAAACTTATTCCCATGAAATCAGGGGCCATCCTGTAGGCTGTGTAACAGGAGCACATGGACTCAGCCTAGCTGGCCATGGTAAAAAGCAATTCCTATGCACTGTCACTTGTTCTAGCATGCCAATTAATCCTCTCTTGTCACTACTGCAGCATCTGCAGTTGTCAGCCCAGGACTGTTTATGGGAAGCCCAGTGAGAGCAGGACAGCACCACTTGTTTGCCCCCTTACACTCACACCTGTGCTAAGTTTGAATGGGTGCAGAACAGTTTGGGAGGAGGTTGCCTGAGACCTAGTGAATCTTGCCAGGCAGGAGCCAGGCAGGAGCCAGGCAGGAGCCAGGCAGGAGCC